AAGCCATTTTTTTTAAACTGAATTTTTTTACTGAACTTGTACCGTTCTGTTATCGAGACCGGATTAAGAAGTGAAGTGATGTATGTGTATGTATGTGTATGTACAGTGGATGGACAAAAATATGGAAACACCTTGTGAAATGCATGTTTGAAAAGAAAGATTGATTTTAATGAAATATGTAGGTGGCGCTGGCGTTTTTGACTACTGACGCCACCTATACAACTTCGTAAATGTGCTAAACAGTTCAGTTGTTGTCGGAGTACTGTTATGCGAGGTTGTCATTGCATTATGTCAGAGTTAACAGACTTCGAACGTGGGCAAATTGTTGGAGCACGTATGGTAGGTGCTTCCGTAAGCAAGGTAGCCGAGGTGTTTAGGTGTTTCAAGAGGTACTGTATCGAAGATTTATTCCGCATATTTGAAAAGCGGAAAAAAAACATCGTCTGCTAAATCACAGCGCGGACGAAAGAAAAAGTGTGTCCTGAGTGATCGTGACAGACGATCATTAAGGGCAATTGTGATGAAAAATAAGAAGACCACAGCTGCAAAAAGTTACTGCTGAAATGAATGTTGTGTTACCGAACCCTGTGAGTACCAAAACAATTAGAAGGGAGCTTCATAAACAGGGAATTGCTGGCCGTGCTGCAATTGAGAAGCCACTCATCAGTGATGCTAATGCCCGTAACATTAGCAGGGCTATTGCAACTGTTCTCCGAGCAAAGTTAAAACCACGCGATATTGAACAGTGTACTAATCGGTTAGGGTTAAAATGCTTCTTTTTATGGCGGAGAAATTTAGGTATAAATGACAACAGAATGCTGAGATTTATTTCATATTACATTATAATTTTAGCCCTTCGCTGAGCACTGGGTTTTATTATTAATATTAATTGTTTGAATGAGTTTTGGCAGTAAAAATATTCATTCATAATGAAACTAGTTTGTGTAATTTCTTTTACAGAAATACCATAAATTTTTATAAAATTTTCGTAAAATTTATAACAGTCAATGCTTCAAATTAATAAATAAATAAAAGCCTGCTTTTGAAAAGGAATGTGAGATATTTTACATTAGTCTGATATAATGAATTCTACTGAAATATATTTAATACCTAACAATAATAGTTAAATAATCAAATGGCGTTTTAAATTATCTGTCTGACGGTTGAGAGAAAAATATTTGCTTGATTACCGATTAACAATGATAAGAAATTCTTTTCTAACAGCTAAAATAATCGCATTTTAAATACAGCGTTTTACGCAATTCGCAAACAAAACACCAAGGATTTGGAATGCGTGAAACACTTGGCTGCTTTACATGAATATTCAACGGAATTTAAGAGATGAAACTCATTTGGGGAAAGCTGATTTAAAATGCTAATCAGCTCTGTCTAAAACTTTAGTTATTCCTACAAAATTCATGGCTATATAGAATAGCAATGGATTTTCATTGTTACAATAACAATAAAAAAAACTTTAAGCGAAGATACAGTTTTAGAACTAGAAATTATTGAGTCAGAAACATCCCGTTCATTTTTGTTGTAAAATATCCGCATACACCTTTCCGTAAACTGAACTGTTAGCAGCTAAGTTGGGTTTAATCCTAGTATCCGGTGCACACGGGATTTGGCTACTTTTGGCGACTTTATGATGAGAAAAAAAAAAGACATATACGATGAGTAGTAAACGGGTCATCCAAAGAATATATATAGTTATACATAATATATACTTAGTATATAGTGTATAGTATATACATAGATGTTGTTTGGGCATGTATATAGTGTATAATAGTACATAGACGTTGTTTGGGTCATTTTTGGTGTTGGCGATAATTTTCAAAATCGCGCCAAGGCTGCACCGTATACTAGGATTTTACCCTAAGTGGAACAGAAATCTAACCCATAAGTTTGGTCGAGCAGTAAAAACCGCTGTATACTGTTAGTTCTGTCCGTGGTTCAAATCTCGGTGAACGGGCTGGCTGCATGGGCTTTCCCCCCCCCCCCCCCCCATGTTTAACATGGATACTAGTCAGTTTTTCTTAAAAAGGTCCTCCACGGGGTTTCTCTCTCCTTTTCCGTGTAGTGCCTAATGGTGGAACATGTAATAAAATATTAAAAAAACCCTATAAATTAAGCTATCGATTAATAAATGCATATTTTATATCTACTATATGCATTAAGACGGTACTATTCCGTTTTGAGGACCGTAAAAAAATTGCAGCGAAAATGTATGCGCAAAAGCGCCAAATCTAGCAAACGCGCCCATTTAATAGCGCGCCAAATCTAGCGTACGCGCTGATTTCAGATTGCGTAAGTTTATATAGTTCTATATTTCTTAAGACGCCATTGAAATGCTAGTTTAATTTTTAAATCCTTTTTTGATTTTAAATCCTTTTTTGATATCCTACGGATTTAACAATTTGGGAATTGCCCATGTCGAAAAGTGTGAAATAGAATTTTGGGTAAAGTGGCAGAATCACCCACTGCTTGACGCGTTTTTAAGAATTGCACATACTCGGTATCCATGTACACATCGACCTATTTTCACTTCAAAAAAAAAAAAAAATCCCAGAATTGCACAAAAATGGCACTGCACACACCCTTGACTTTATCTATATACACATCGACCTATTTTCACTTGAAAAGTAAAAGAAAATTGACAAAAATCCAATTGTTTTTACCCTTGTAAAAAGCGGCAAATAAGTGATCGATTCTGCACTTTACCGAGAATTTTTTCAAAGAAAAGGCATCATTTATTATAGAAAACTATGTTTAAACAATCAACGAGATAAAATTATGCTTTAGCGATAATTCGATAGCGAAATAGTGATGCAGTATTCTATTCAGTTATGTTTAGCAATTTTTATAGAAATTATAATGATGATCTGAAATAGTTATTTACTTTTATGCTTCCATTCAGTCATGTTTAGCCTTTTTTATATAAATTATAATAATAAAAATGTATTACATGAAATTAACCTTTCATCTAAATTAAAACATCAATCTTAAATAGTTATTTACTATTATACTTCTTGCGTTTGGGTTGCCGGAATTATTTTTGGCAGCACTGGCATCAACAATAGTTTGGCGATTTCTTATGCGAAACCCGAATAGTACCGCATAGGGCATTACATTTTTTAAATTAAATAATGCTATCAAGAAAATCATAACCAAATCATAAAATATTTGCAAGCGGTGTATTGTAATATTATTTACATTTAATGTACGGAATTAATTGGGATCAAAATCAATTGATCAACAATCAAGATCAATTGGGATGTTATTTATATTATTACAACATTGCATAAAAAAAATCAGAAGTTTCTTCAATTGATCTGTACATATTTTATGGCAGAAAATAACGAAATAGGTACGTAAATACATATATTTTACGTATTATCACGTATTCACATTAAAAAATATGTTTTTGGTGTTTGTACATTAACTTAGTTTGCGAGTTTTTCAAACCATTGCAAATATATGAAAAATTACTAATATACGTTCGAATCTGGATTTAATGAATCTGAAGTTGAAATTATTCGTTAAAATTAAGTCCCAAAACATTAAAATATTCATATAAATATGCGGTGAAACACAAAAATTACACATTGAAGTCAATAGAAAGATTTCAGTGAAATAAACATGTAGTATAAATTTAGTCTAGAAAGACAGAAGTTTCCAAAATTTACTTTATGCAGTAAATGTTTTAGATAGAAATCTGATACTAACATTTGTATTTAAATTATTTCATCCACTAAAAGTTTTCGATTGCACATTGTAATACAAATCTAACTTTTCAGTATTAGTTACTGATAGTAGGATGACACTTCATTCCATGAATGACAAAACCCGTCACATTAGTCACGATTCGAAATGATGTTTCCCCGACTAATAAATTTTCTGTATTTTAACTGATCGGATTTATTATTTCTGTATTTTAACTTATCGGATTCATTATTTCTGTATTTTAACTGATCGGATTTATTATTTCTGTATTTTAACTGATCGGATCGGAGAAGGTTCAATTTATTTGTGCAGTGTGAAAACAAACAACTCTTTAATCCCAGTGTTTCAAGAGAATATAATTCCTATTTACACTACTGAAAAAAAAAGTTTATAAATATTTCAAAGGGGAAAAATAAGTTAAAAGAAACTTTCTGGAAAAACTTTAAAAATAGAAAATCCTGGAATGTTTTGAAAATTTGGTAAATGAGGATAAAATATTTGTTAAAACGAAATTTTCCTTGTTTAACGTTTGTTACAAGCACCAGGACTTCATTAAATCGAGAAATTTAATAAATCTAAGTTCCTTAAATCGAGAATCCAACGTACGTAAACATAGTTCCACGCATAAGAGAAGAAACTGAAATCTAAATTTAATGGCCAATGTGCTTATCAGAGAGTTTAAAATTTAAAAATTAGAAAAGCCTGGATTTTTTTGAAAATTCATTAAATCGGAATAAAATGTTTGTCAAAAGAAATGCTTTTTGTTTAACTTTTGTTACCAAGAATTCGTTAAATCGAGAAATTTAATAAATCCGTATTAGTTAAATCGGGTATCAAATGTTTTTAAAAATAATTCCACGTATTACAGGAAAAATTGAAATCTGAAGTCAGTGGCCAAGATGTTTATTAAAGAGGTTAACTTTAGGCGAAACTATAACTATCCTAGAATCAAGAGAAAATGCGCAATGAAATTATACAAAACCATCCTAAAATTGATGTTCGACTGATTTCTTTCCAATCTGGTTTGCAGGAACTGTTTATTTATAAAAACTAAACAGAATCTCTTCGAATATTTCAAAAATGTTGTCTTTGTAATATTAATGTAGATGAAGATAAAATCATATTTACTATTCACTTATATAGATAGATCATTTAAAGCATTAAATTTTTCAAGTGGAACTCAAGATTCCAAAGAATAAATTTTGGGCGGAAAAAAATTGTTTTTGTTTTTGTTTTTAGAGTAAGAATAATCTTTTAGATCAAGTTCTTATTCTTACCTTTTTCACTGGCAAACGATGGAGGTAATATCCATAAAAATGCACAAATAACAAGAAGGACCATTTCAACACAACGCAACATGGTGAAAAGATACGAGGTGAGAAATTCGCTGTTTTAGTATCTGCTTGTTATCCGCCTAAGTTTACGCATATTCTTCGAAAAAGATTTCCACTGTGCTTCTTTTTCTAGCTACTCTCGTGTACCGATGTCTACATGGAGTTCTGTGATGTCATTCGCAGCGCTCCTTATTCCAGTCTGCCTGTCATTGTTTAGTTACTCTTACGGTTGCTTTATCGGCAGTGCTCAAACAATGAAAACCGTGATTGAATAATGAAGTAGGGGGCGCTGCTGAAATTTAAAGCGGGTATACGAAAAGTAAAGGAAACGGCCCAGTTATTTTTTATTTTTGTTCGTTTCAAAGGCACAGAATATTTTTAAAGAATGCAATCTGAAAGGGAAAAAAAGAAAAGTTCTTTAATTTGAATTAAATTTTTTTAAAAAAATTATTAGCTCGAAGGAGCGTTATATTAGAAGGGCTATTAATTTCGTTTTGGCATTTTGCGTCGATTCACCATAAATGGCGAATCACTTTTGAAATTGTTGCCACCAAATATTATCGCCCTGTATTACATTTAAATAAATTAAATAACGAAGAATATGGGGGAATATATGTATGTTATGTATGCACTCTGATAAAACAAAGGTAAATAGAGACATCCAATTTTAAATAACGTACGTCTCCACCCGAATAGGGCGTCTGGAAGCCCCAATTTGGAATTTGTTTTATTATCTATTTCATATCTTGTAAAGCAATTATGAGTTTTTAGTTAAGAAACTCAACCATTTCAAAGCGAGGAATGGCAACACTGTACGGGGGAAAAAAAAGCATTTTTATCTTTAACGCGCGAGACTGCATATCGGAAATTTGTAATATTACCGCTGAATTAAATTTTATGGTTTAAATGAGAAGAACATGATATTTAATAAATAAAGGTAACACACAAAACGTTAAAAAACAACAAAAAAAAAAAGCCCCTTTGGGCGTAATATACAATCTGAAAGCTTTCAGATTTTATTTTAAATTTTTGCTTTTAAAAAAGCAAAAGAAATTAAATTTATTTCATTATGCAATAAAATTTGAATCATCTGAATTTTTTTATCATTTTTTTGTGGGGAAAGTCAAATTATGCTTATTAATTTCTTTAACTTTTCTGTTGACTTAAATGGCATTTTTATCTAAGAATTTTAATTTACGATAAAATGAGAGTTTAATTTTTTGAAGAGAATAGTTTGTTTTGCACGCACACACAATTATAAGATTATTTATGGTTTGTAAAATATTTTTTTTTATATGTAGGATTTATATAAACAAAAACTGTTTCATTTTTAGCTGAAATAAAAATGGTTTATGTGTTTAGACAAATATGATGATCTTAGTTGAAACACAGTACGACAAATAATATTAATAATATAATAAGGCAATAAAATTTTCTCATTTGCATTACAACAAACGTATTTATTTGTTCTGTAGAGGATTTGTGGAATTCCGGATTCTTGGAATATCTAACTCAGCTGTTGTTGTGACTTATCTCACTTGTCTGAGAGTAACATCAGAACGTGTGTGTGTGTGTGCAATTATGGCAAAGCCTCGAGGGCTATCTGCCTAATAGGAAGGATGCCTTCGTGGAGGACTTTCTAAGGGAAACTGGCTCGTATACACGTTACACATGGGGAAAACCAAAACTTAATAATCTTGGGATTTGATTATATTAGGCTGTAGAGATATTAGGTTAATTGGAAAAGCCGGAGAGATGAAACATTAGCAATTGTCTTCGCCGGGAATCGAACCATGGACCTCTGGAATACCAGCCCGAAGTTCAGAACCACTACGTCACGAAGGCGCCATCAGAACGAGTCCGTGAATTTTATCATGGTGAGGACTATACAGTAGAACTGCGCCTGTTGTTGGAATGGGCCTTGGATATCTTTAAGATAACACTGCGACTTGCTCATTTTCATCCCAGTTCTGAAGCGGTATTTCCCCCCCCGGATTCACGATCCTCTACCCCTACCACTAAACCTTTGGAAAGGACTTTCGGCTCCGAATATTTTAGGTGCCCCTATTCCACAAAGGCGCTATATACTTGCAAGTACCCAAACTTTCTCCAGGATCGAATCAACACTGTAACAGCTAGCATTGCTAACCACTATACTAATCAGGTTAGCTGTGTTCCCAGATGGCCTGATATTTAGATTTTTACTATAAATTTAGAAAGAATTTTATTGTGGAATTTCCTTACCTTTTTCGTTTTGAGTTTGAAATTAGACACTTTCTTGAAAAGAAAGGAGAATAAAGCTGGAATAATCATTATGGGTATATCCTATTTATTACATTATAATTGTCTTTAAAATTTACACTCAGGCGAAGGTGTGTTTCCAAATTAAATTCAATACACAAATGACGCTGTTAAAAATATTTTCTTCAAATTCCTTTTTTAAATTTATTTTGAAAGAAATAACCCCCAAGTAAAAACAAAACAAAAAAAATGCAATTTTTTTTAATAACTGTACTGTATTATTTATTTCATACTGTAAACAAAAATTAATTTTTTCCCTTTTTGATTTACGAAAATAATTTTTTGAGTGGTGCAAAAAAATAATAATGACTGGGTTATTTATACGTAAATGTGATGGCTAATCACCTGTCATGCATTTGTTAGGACTCTCTTAAGCCTCTAACATTGCTTTAAGAATTCAATAAGCGTAACTCTTCAACTGTTCACTTACGTTAAAGTTCGCGGAATGTATAAGAAAGAGATGACTTCGTGGAAGACTTCCCAAGAGAAACTGGCTCTTATATAAGTAACATATCCGTAAGATTACAAAAGCTAAAAAGCATTGATCTTATGTAAGCTGAGGACAAAATTCAGATTTGTAAAGCCAAGAAAGAGATTTCAAGTATAAAAAGACTACAAACATGCATACTTCTGATTTCTTGGTCATTATCCTTAGTGCACTGCAGGCCCACCAGAGGGCGAGCGGTCCTTAAACACAGGTAATTCGGTCCGATGTTCGAATCCTGCGAATGGGCTGGCTGCATGGAAGCTTTCATGGTTTTCCCTAGGTGTAAAGCGTAATAAGAACCAATTTCCCTTAGAAAGTCTACCACGAAGGCATCTGTCCCTTCCGTGTAGTGCCCTTGGGGCGGAACACGTAAATAATAATAATAATAATAATAATTCGCACTGCAATGACAAATATGATGATTTATTTCTTATTACCATTTACAATATTTTGAGAAAATTTAATTTTATTATGACTTCAAGGGTACAGTTATAGCTAAAGATGCTTATAGCTTTTTGTTATTGCATAGACTTTCGTATTCTTGCAAACATTTTTTGCAGTACCTACTGACTTGAACTTCGAAAGGTAATAATGTGATACAGAAAATAAGTTGCCGTTTTGTACTGATTTTTGTCAGACACTCTGTTTATTTTAAAGAAACCTCTTATTAAGCAACACAACTGTGAAATTTAATATGATTCTACAGACTAATCAAATCGTACAAAAGAAGATAACGTCGTCTTCAGCCACGTTTATATGTTCTATATATTCGCCTTATTTAAAAGAATTAGGAAAAACTTTGTTAAACATACGAAAATTTTCCGAAATCCCAAATGTATATTTCTATTGCATTTCCTTCTTATGTGAATTTTTCTCTTAAATTAAACTGCATGTATCCTAATTTAAAAATTTTCTTTTTTGTAAACTTCCTGGGAATGTTGCTCATTGTTTATAGCTCGTTTGCCCTTTTTCTTTTACCATTTAGTGGCCCGAATGTTTAAAGCTCTAAAACAGTAATAGTTAGCTTCTATTCTTGCAATAGTTAACTTCTTATTCTATATAAAGCTTGTGTCCATTTTTATGTACATTAAGCGTAACTGTTCAATTACATTAGCTTCTTATTCTATATAAATAATGCTAGTAATAGTTAGCTTCTTATTCTATATAAAGCTTGTGTCTATTTTTATATACAAAATAAGTAAATCTCATTTGAAATAAAATCTGAAAGCTATCAAATTACGTTACGCCCAAAGAAACGATTTTTACCGTTTTGTGTGTTTCCTTTATTTATTAAATATCATGTTCTTCACATTTAAACCATAAAATTCAATTCAACAGCAATATCGCAAAATAATTTAAAAGGAGCATATCTTTAGAATTTCCGATACACAGTCTCGCGCGCTGGAAAATAAAAGTGTTTTTTTTTTCGTACACTGTTGCCGTTGCTCGCTTCGAAATCATTGAGTTTGTTAATCAAAAATTAGTTTTTGGACTTAGATTCCCATATTCGAGTGGAGGGCTACGTTATTCAAAATTGGATGTCTCTAGGTACCTTTGTTTTTTCCCAGTGCGAGAAACATACACACATTTATTCAGATTCTTCATTTATCAATTTCTTTAAATATAATGCAGGGCTCTAATATTTGGGGGCAACAATTTGAAAAGTGAAACGCGGTTTTATAGTGGACGATGCAAAATGCGAAAACGAAATTAATAGCCCTTCTGGGCAAATTTTCCCTTTAGGCTTATAAATAATCTCAGAAAGTCTTCCATGCAAGCTTCCTCTTAGGAGATAACCGTAGTAGCTTTGCCGTATTCAAACAGCCTAACCTGTGTAAGAGGTAAAATTAGCTATTCAAGTTACAAATTAAGGAGAGTCTATATATCAACTTCTCTTTTTTTAATCTGTGACTCACTGATCAGGTATTACACGTGCCCTTTTCTAATAATATTTTAAACAAAATAAGCAATATATCCCTTTCCAGGCATGTGTAACGTGAAAATGAGCCAGTTTGTCTCATAGAAAATGTCCTCCGGAAACAGCTTTTTCCTCTTACGTGCTTTGCCATAAACCACACTAATTCGTCTCTCTCCAAATAATTTTTTTAATATAAACAGTAGTTAGTTTAATTGCTGTTAGTTATTTCGTGTTACCTTTGGGGTGTTAAAAGCACGTTGTTTTTGTGTGTGATATTTCATTCTTGAAAATGGATTGTTTTTCTTTCTTTTTTTTCTTTTTTGTTGTTTCCGTTTTTTGAATATAACCTGTAATATAATTTTAATTAGCTACGCCATTGACACTGAAAAAAAAAACGCCTTTTGTTTTGATAATGAAAGATAATATCATGAATAAAGTGAAAGGTGTAAAAAATAAAATTTTCTTACTTGTATATTCTTATGCAACTCTTCTTAGGCATAAAAAAAAAAAACCAA